TACTGTTATCTGATTGGTCTATCTTTAGCTTGTTAATGAGTATGTTGTGAGAGCCTGTCAAAACCTTGCTGAAGTCAAGGTATATCATAGCCACTGTTCTCTCTCTATCCACAGAGCCTGTCACGTTATAAAAGTGCATCCCGGGCGTTTAGCCACCACAAGTGCAGTCAAGCTGGGTTGAATGAATAGTTTTCAAGAGTCCAAGCGTGTTGGGAACCTGAGATTGGGGAGCGGCTCTCCTTGATCTCCAATTACCCTGCACTGGGCTTATAAACACTATATGTGCTGTCCAGCTGTGCTGTTTATGCCTTGTTGAGACCTGGAGCTACCCTTTGCCCAGTCCTATGTTGGCATTGGGCATGTGACAGCCTCAGGTCGCAGGCTGCCCAACAGCTGGGGGTCAGGGCTCCTCTCATGCCTGGCATGCTTATAGCCTTGACCAAGGCAAAGCTGCAAATATGCTGGATACAGGGCCAGTCTGTGGGCTCCTTGCTCCCTATGTCACAGCACTTTCAAATGCTCTGCCCTACACCTTGCATTTGGTTTGAAGTCAAAGCTGCAAGTGTGCTAGGCCAGCTTGAGACCCCCTGCTAATCCATGTTCCAGTTGATTGCCAGCATTGGGATTGGGGCACCTCCAGACCCAGTTTGAGACTTCATAGATTTCATAGACGTTAGGGCTGGAAGGGACCTCGGAAGATCATCGAGTCCAGCCCCCTGCCCAAAGGACTTGGAGCTGCCTGGTCCCGATGCTGAAAATTGAGCAGTTCCAGTCTGTGTTCAAGATCCAGTCAGCTGATGGTTGGCACTGGGATGGGGCAGCCCCAGGGCTGTCCCCAGCTAGTGCCAACAATTAGCTGATTGGTGGAATCAGGACTGGGCAGTGTGGGACACATGCCACACATTCAGTTTAAGGAACCATACAAGCCCAACAAAAGATCTTCTATATTAGACATCTTTGTGGCTAGTTTGCCATTTTATGGCACCATAAATTAGATGAATGCATGGCATGTGGGTTTTTATAGCAGAATTAAAATGTTAATCATTTTATTTATTTCATTAGCTGCAACTCCCATCTATTCCAGAATCTGTAGGAAGAATTTGGCTCTAATCATGCATTGTGGTGATTTTGCTTTGAAAGTGCACCAGTACGCAACTTAGCCTTTAACAAATCTTTAGAAGGAAACCCTAGATCACTTGAAGTGCTTGCATACAGCAGCCTTTTCAGGTTGTGTGGAAGCATGTTTTTACTTAAAAAGATAATATCTGTCTCTTTGCTTGCAATAATTAAATGTAAGGGTTTTTGTTTTGATTATTCAGCCCAATCATTAAAAATACCTTTGCACACATATCATTTTGTATCATAACTTCTGTTACGGAAATCCTTACCTAGCTAAACCCTGCTCTCCCTCTTTAAAGGAACTCCCATGTTTTTGTTAGTGATTGTAGAGAAGTCTATACTTGCTAAGTGCTTACGTCTTAAGCTAAAAGCATGTTACGTTTTAAATAACATTTTACTGTTCTTGACAGAATAACAACCCAAGAAGAAAGAGGTAGTTGGCCATGTTAGTGTGAAATTAGGCAGAAGGCAGGGCAGGGTAATACTTAACATATTAAGCTCTGGTTTAAAAACATTATTTTTGTAATTGAGACCAAATCTTACTATTCTTACATGAATAGCTCCACTGAGTTCAGTAAAATTACTCACAGAGACCCCTAGTTAAGCCCATGAGTAGTCTTTTGGACTTCACTGCAGCTACCCATGTGCTTAAATTAAATGTACTCTAAACTAAGTTACTGAAAAAAGGTAAGAAATAAGGTTTTGGATTTGATCAGAGGAAGGCTTTTTTGGGAATTAATATTCTTGTGGAAAGGGACAAATGCTAATTAGAGAATTTAACCATACATGTTTTCATTTTTGCTCTTCCCTTCCTTTAACAGGATGTCATGATGATATAAAATATGTCTAAAATTATTATTACAGGCTGCAGTTCAGATCAGCGCCCTCTTGTTCTAAGCACTGAGTCACAGACACATCTAACTTAAGTGAATTCATAGCGTGTACATATTTAAATATTTGTGGTAGGAAAGTCAGCAGGATTGCTTGGGGTGGAAAACTTAATTTTCAGGATCAGGACCTAACTCAATAAGGCAGACAAAGGAAGGGAGGTGAAATATAGGGACAAGGATATATACAGTGATTTGTGTGACTGGCCTACAGTCACCCTGGCTAGGGAGAGACATTCAAAAATCCGGAGGCTGAATTGATTCAAACTTTGTAGTTTAGTCTAACCTGCATAGATTGAATTGATTTGTAAGTGAATAGACATTCACTTTTGATTCTGGAAATGCAGGCACATGCCTGCACTACCTCAGGTTAGAAACTGGGGTGCGCTACTGCGAGCCTTCCTTTCCCTTCAGGCTGGAGGGAAGCTGAACTGAGGGGTGGTCTGACCAGGCCCCAGCAGGCTGAATATGACTAGGGAGGAGTTTAACCCCCACCCAGGCCTGCAGGGACCCTAGCTGGGGTCTGCCTGGCTTTTCCCCTCTGCTAGTGGCTCAGCATGGCCTGGGACCCCCAGAGCCCTGCTCCCAGCCAGTGGGCGATCCTGTAAACTGTTTGAAGTAAACAACATATCACTGTTTGAAGTAAACTTTTTAAACAAAAGCACCAAAACCTGTATCAGATATTGTATTTTGATGTGTATGTGGTTCTGAGTAAAGGTATATGATTTAATTCAAAGTGATGTTTCATTTGATCCACTTATAGACAAATAGTCCAGGAGCGGAAACTGTATAATGCCTGATATGTTGCGTGGTGGCTAGAGCCTTGTCCTAGGAAGTTAGAGAGAAGCAAGTCCAAACTTAGATGACGTGTAGGGTCTTCTCTGGGTCTTCCACATCCCCATATTTTAGTAAGGCTTCCCCTTAGCATTTATGCCCAGGTATGCATGTACATAGTCATGTATCTGCCTAGCTGGTACATAGCTTCCACCCTGTGTGCGTTGACTTTGAGCTATTTCGTACTCGGTGTGCTGGCTGGTTTAGATACTGTTTTGTTGTACTTACTTTTCCCTATGCACTTACCATCGAATTCATGCTGGGGGCTTAGATGCTTAAGGGTATGGGCACATGAACCTGCTGTCATAAGGTAAGGTATGGTACAAACTTAATGGATCAGCTGTTTCATGGTAACTGTCTGTATGCATGCTGTGACCCTGTGGTATAGTGACAGTTTAATCTGCAGTGAAAGTGGGGTGAGCTACCTTGTTTTTACCATGAGGAAAGATTGTGCTTTTGGGCACTTACCACAGAGTAGCTGATACACTGTAAGGTCCCTCCCTAGCTTACCTCATGGTAACTTGCTCACGTGCCCATACCTTAAGTCCTTGATTGGATCTAGCTCTAAGTCCTTATTTATGCACCTAAATAAGTAGCCTGACTTTCAAAAGTACCAGGGCACCTTGCAACTCCCATTGGCTTAGACTTTCCTTGGATAAATGTTAATAGTGATATGTTTTCAGAGGAATTTGATAACACAGAGGCAAACAGGTCCACCTTCAATTTATTTTGTAGAGTTCTGAGGGAAAAAATCATTGTGTTTGGATAGTTATGCATCTATATAACTAACTGAAAATCAATTATATTAATGCCATGATCACACTTTTGTTATGCAGGATTTATAACTTGTTAGTTATCTTCTTTCTAGGTAGATTTTAAATTCATGTTACATCCCAACTGTAAGCAAAATGTAAAAAAAAGTATGCTGTTGTCCGTGTCCTTTATCCTTTGTTTCTTCTGGAATGTAACAAGAAACTTTATTTTTCCTTTAAAAAAAACAAACAAACCGCTCATTTTAAACATCAGATTCCTATGAGTTTTTAAAAGACATTGTTGCTGCAAATATGAATTAAAAGAAAACCAAAAACTAAATAGGTAGCATAGGGGTACTTGACCACAGTTTTACGCTCGTTCTACCTTTTTTCCCATATGTACCTTGTTTGTTTTTTTGAAAAGTAGAACTTAAAAGGTCTCAGATTTCTGATTATTATTGTGTATACTATAGCACTATATAACTAATTTATTGAAAGCTGAAAAATATCTGTATAAAAAGCAACATGCCAAAGAAATGTGGTTTTTTAATGACCACAATAACAAACCATCTCAAAGTTGTGAGTTAATAAATATGACTGTGTCCTTTTATGTCAGTGGTACACAACTGCCATTAATTCTTTATAGAGAAAAAAACATCAGATAGGTCAGCTGGGTTCTTTAAGATGACTCACTTCATACTAAAATCCTATATTTTAAGGTAGACATTGGCTTAGTCTTTTTGGGCAGCTCTTGCCTCAAACAGGCATTCATTCTGCATAAGAGAAAGGAAGGACTATGGTATTTTTTTGCCATCTTTCTCTCTAGAATTTTATGCCTTTGGAATGGTAGACTTCTTAACTACTGAAACAAGTCAGCTAGTTATCCATTATGCATTTGTTTCTTTTGAGACTTATCCTTTGTACAAGATAGTCACTAGAAATTCTAGCTTTGTAATAGCTGGAAATAGCTTGCATTTGGATATCTTCAGTTTAGTTGGAAGCTGTTGTCTGTATTTCTTCATTCAAGGACTAACACTTTGCTAATAGTGCAAACTGATGAGGATCAGAAAACTTAAATATTTTTGTCAGAAAAGTTTAGGAGGCATTTTCATTGTTTCTTTCCCCATTTTCTGACCAGCTCTAATTAACCTGCTTAACGGTTTAAATACCTGTAGTTGGACAACTGCATGAAAATTAATATAGTATTTGGTTGGAAAATGCTCCTTTTGTTTTCTCTTTCTTTATGTAATAATGTGTGATTGTCGTTAACATAATTATCTATAAAAATAATTATACTTTGTTTTCATTAAAGCTTGATCTGAAGGCAAAATTAATCTCTTTATTAAGAACAGCAATTTGATTTTTGGTGGCCATATTCATTGACTTTATTTCATTTTTTTCTTTTCAGAGTGAAGGAGTTACTTTTATCACCTCAAAAAAAAAAAATCAGAATACAACATTCAAAGAAGCTGCTCGGCCTATGTTTTCTAAAATCTGAAGCTGCTTACGGTTTACTTTTTTGTTTTGTTTTGTTTTTTTGTTGGTCTGGACAGTTACTTAACTTTCAAACTGCTATGGACTATACTGGACAACAAATCTGCAAGGAAGGGAAAGCACCCTGCCTCACATTTCTTGTCGTTGGCATCTACATTGTGCTGCTGTTTTGACAGACATTGAAGATGTTCTTTAAAATTTGGAACTTTTCTGCCGGCCTGTTTAACTTACGGCCAATGCCTTCATTTCCTTTTTCTGCAAAGACGAACTGTATTTATTCTTCAGCATGCTAGGGGATTCTGTAACACCTGCTAAAACAGTAAAATCTGGTATTTACTGGCATAATTTCAAGCCTACCGCAGTACTACCTCAGTTCAAAGTAAAGCCGGATTTGTATAGTTGGTGTACAACAGGACCTCCTTTATCTCTATGCTGAGTATCTCTCAAGAACAGTCATCAGCCTTATTGAACTTTTAAAGTATACAGCTGCTGGTTGGTTCTCATCACTAGCTGCAGTGTTTACTTATCAGACAAAGCTCTATGTGGGCTCTGAAAAGTCTAAAATGAGATAACTTTGTGGATTGGACTTTGAAGGATTCAGAATAGTTATAAAATGTGTAACTGAAGCAACATAAGTTAAAATCATCAAACTGTATTGGGGGTATCTCTCTTTATCTTTAACACACTTGTTTAATCCTCTCTATGTAGGTGTTTATGTAGGTACTTTGAATTGCAAAAGCCTTTTCTCCTATTTATAAGCTCATGTTTGTCAGCTAACCCTGTTCTTAGCTGCATTTCTCATAACCAAAAATTGACATAGGCATGCTAGGAATGCAAGGATGATAATGGGTATTGGGCAGATTGAAATGTTAATTTTAAAAAACATATTATCATGCCGTTGGGAAGTCCTAATATTTGACTTGAAAAGCGGCATTGCAACTGAAGGCATCATTAAAGGGAAAAATAAGAGTTTTAGTAATTTATCCAGAGTTCTTTACAAGAGTACCCGTTTTTACATTTTCAGTATTCTGAAAATACCAGTGATGTTGTGACAGTGTCACAGCTATCACATACAACTGTTGCACCAGACTAGCAGAATGTTATGTCACCTTGTTGCTCCTTTGAGTTTATTGAATACTATATAACATTTTAAAGGTACCTCCCCAGTGCCTGCTCTGATAGTCATGTAAGTATTACACTAAGTTATTTGAGTTGTGTGAGATTTTTTGAAAATTCTTTGTGAGAGATGGAGAATCTATACATCACTATAAACCCAATGCATTATACATATTTTTGAGGAAGACTAGAATCAATGTCTTACAACTATAACTAATGGCAATGCAAAGTCTTCCTGCTTACATGCTGAACTTTTAAAACAGAGGATTGTATTACAAGACAAAGATGAATGTAAACAAATTCCTTCCACACCCTGTAACATTTCCTTTCTGTATAATTTTCTTGGGTCTCGCAACACAGCAGTATAGACTAAATATTGTGCAGTTTATAACATCAATTTTAAATGTCTAACTTCTCATCTTAAAATAATCCCAAGCTGTAAAATGTTCTAAGATACTTTTTCGATATTGGTACTAAAACAAAATGGTTGTTGACATTTCCTGTCTGAACCCCACACCTAACTATAGCACTGAACATGGTACCTGCTGAATACAATATTTTAACTTCTATTTTGAAGTAGCCCTCTCTCTACCAAGTGTAAATCATGCCACTATAAAAATGGTTTGTAGTCACATAGCAACTTCAAAGCAAAGAAACTTGATAATATACTCAATTTTCATCTATCCTGTATATTTCACAAAAGGCATATGCAATATTTACATTCTTAATTTAGTTTACAGAATGGAACCAAAATGTATAAATGTTATGTTTGCTAAAACTTCACAATGTATATTGGGTCTTTGTACATTTTGCCTGACTTACCTTAAATTTAAAATATTTTTTGCTATATAATCTTAACAGTTATTAAGCAGTGTTTTCTTTTTGGGTACGTATTGTTTCTGGATATCAAGATGTTAAATATATTTCCTGCTATTGTGATATGACAAGAGACTTAACTTATCTTGCTGTGTCTTCCAATGTACACGCTGTATATAAGGATAAATGTGATGCTGCTGGAGACAAGAATAAATGGAACTAGAGTAGTGTATTGTATTTAGTCTGTATTGATCATGGATGCTCTCCTTAATAGCCATATGCAATAAAATACATTATTTATGAAAGGAATAAAGTCTTAAAGGCCTGCTTTCTGTAGGGTTTTTTTAGGGGAGGGAGGGAAGGTTGGTTCGTTGGTGAAATGAACTTGCTTTTATTTTTGCTTCTTTAACATGAAACATAGTTTCTATGAATTAATCTTTTTCTGCACTCATTCCCTTCCTGTGCATTAATGCCCTAATAATAGGCACGTCTACATGTTATGCTACATGGCCATATGGCCTGCTACAGTAAGGTAGTGAGCATGTGGGTCTACACATGATTGGCAGCTACATCACCGCAGTGGCATACACCCCCATTTTAGCGCACATCACTACAGTGATGTAGCAGCATAATCTAACCATACGCCACGTGCACGGTGCAGTATGGGCAATTACTGAGTCAAGCTTTAGTACTTCTAAAAGGAAATACTTAAGCACGGCACCATATCAATGTCGCCGTATGGTGACATGTAGATGCACCCAATGATAACGAAATCTCTAGTAACTAACCTTCAGCACAACTTTTTGTATTATACAAGTTTATTTCAACTTTGTAATACTTCAGTGGGGCATCTTTGGCCTATAGCAGGGGTGTACGAGGCATAATTTGGACCTTGGCCTTTAACTTTAGAGTGTCTGACAGTCTATGTATACTCAAAGAGCCTGAGCCACCTGGGAGGTGGTAGAGCACGTGAGCTCCTGAACATCTTTCTTTTTAAGAACAGATGTAGGGCCTGGCATCACCTACTTTACATTTTTGTAGTCATCTACAGCAGGGGTCAATAACTTGCGGGCCGTGAGCCGGAAATGGCCCGTGAAGAGGCTTGATCCAGTCTGAAGCAGCTCGGGAAATCAGCGTACAGTATCAAATTTCCTCTATGCCTTCCATGTTCAGTGTTTTCTCTCTGCTGCAGCAAAGGAGGCACCCCTAGGATTGTTTTCAATCGATTCCCTTCACGGCATCTGTTGATTGCTAGGGGATACAGGATTGCTGCCGACAATGGAAGCTGGGTGACAACCAGCAGTACCCAGTGGTAAAAGTTGCCAACCCCTGATCTACAGCCACCCAGATTGCCTGTAAAACATCCATAGCTGGTCTGTATTTTCTGGCATGTGTTCAGTGGCTTGGAAGTACAGAAATGACTCCCGAGCACTCCAGTTAGTGCTGGCTCACCTTCCATTGTCTTTTCCAGAGATATGTGGGCAAATTTTAAGGGAGTTTAATTCCTTTTATGCTATGCAGGCTGATCAGAATGGAGTGGTGTCCCTGCTTTGTCCTAGGACAAGAAGTGAAACAGCAAATGGGACTTTTTATGAGTATGTAAGTGTTCAGGAAGACTTGAACCTGTACAAGATGCTGTCTGACCCATAAACAACAAAGGATTTGTGGTAAGGTGTTCTCAGTTATCTTGTATATAACAGAGCACCAACCAAGATCAGGGCCTTAATTTGTGAGATGCTCTGCAAATATCTACTGTGAGATGGACGGGGTCCCAAAACTCCCAGCCATATAAGCACCAATTTCTGAGAGCCTTTGACTAGACTATAAAAATAATAAATCAAGCTATCTGCTTTAAAAGAAAAGAGCACTCTAGCTTTTACCCAGGAAAACAAAACTTTTCTCAACATCAATTCCTAGAAACCCTTGATTTCCCCAAGCCCGTGGGCTAAATCATATTTCACTTTTACTGGCCCAAGTAGTAATTACACAGCTGAGTAATTGCAGGTTTTGGCAGTTAGTTACACAAGTTTTGGATTCCACTTAGTGGTGCAAGCCCTGTATTTCCCTTCTGAGCATGCTCAATAGATTGCATTATGCCTGCATAGGTGCCAAAGGGGAAGAGAATCACGTAACACCCTGCAAGTCGCAGGAAAGCCTTGGTGGCGAAGGACCCTTGAGGCTAGGCAGCCAAGAGGAGAAGATGCATAGGCCAGGAGGAGATTGAAAAAGCCAGAGTGTGTGGCTTAGTGAGATGGATACTGTCATGGATCATGTCCAGGTGCCATGCTCCCAAAAGGTTATTTATGCAATGATTATTAAATGCAAGGTTTGGTGGACTAGCTTCAAATGGAGGGTTTCAGAGGGGTCTTGGCAATGCTTAGTCTCCAGGCCTAGTGGTTAGATTATTTTTTCCTGGGAAGAGCGAAATGTCAATTTATAATGCCCTTTAGGGGTGGGGCACTGTCTCACTATCTAGGTAACTGGGCTAAAAGGAGGGGCCCCTTCTCCATTTTATTTCTGGCAAGTATGCATGCAGGGTGATCCTATTCTGCCCCAGGTAGAAATAGATTCCAAACTGTGTGCAAGTGCTAAAAATTGCCCTAACGTAAGTACCAGTTTGGCATGCAAATGTAGCATAAGTTTTAGTCCTTAACAAATAGGTGGACCTTTGAGTATGCCCTAAAAGTTATCAAGTGTAGGCTGTCGTATTACAAGAGAAGGTCATTTCCAAAACCTGAAAATAGAATGCTACTGATAATTCTCACTCTTAGAGGAGACTCCAGCTTGAGCTTCTCTGCTTATTGCAACTGTGGCCTTGGGGAGAGAGACACTTTTTTCAAGTAAGCAATCACAAGACATTTAGCATTTTGTAGGTATTAAGAAAAGGACTTTAAGCTCTGCATGGAAACCAGTAGACTTCCAGGGTAGATTTTGGAGTACTTGTGTCATGTCCTCCTGATAAGATCAACCACTCACTAGCGGACCCACCTCTTAAGTTTTGCAGTTGGCTTTGTTTCTCCACCACCTTAAGTTTTGCAGTTGGCTTAAAATATAGCTTTTCCTATAGCATATTACAACAACCCAGTCTTGAGATGAGGAAGACATGGATCATGGTAGCAAGATCGGCTAAAAATGGTCACGCTCTCTTACCAAAGCACAAGTGGAAAAAGTATTCCTGGACACTACTGCTGGCTATGTAGCAGCAATTTGAATTTCATTGGGTGCATCTACACATGACACTATGTCTCTGTAGCAATGCAATATGGTGACATAGCATTGGCAGGCACAAACTGTGATGACACAGTTATGTCACCATAGTGACGTGCTCCCTCATTATAGTAAGTTGCTACGGCAACATAGCAGCTAAAAATAACCATGCACGGCTGGAACAGCACAATAATGGCTGTTACCGTGCCATCATTTAGTACTTCCTAAAGGAATTGATGTATATAAACCTGACCTGATGTTGTACATAAACCTAAAGGAAGTACTAAATGACGGTGCAGTAACAATGGTGCCATAAGGGCACATGTAGACACGGCCAGTGTAAGCCTATATTTTGGATATGGATCAGAAATAGCAGGCAAGAATCTCCAAAATATATTTTGTGAACATTTTAATTTTGCTTCCTCCTAACTAACTGAATCGCCTTCAGTCTTCAATGCATGGAGCTTTGGCCAACTAGTGCTCAACAGTGCTTTGAAAACCAGAAAATGCTGGACCATCCATTTAACTTCCCTGGTAGTCAGGTGAGACACAGAGCACCAGATGATAAGACTCATAGCTGATCCTACTTGATAATCTTTCTAACTGTGTCAGGTATCTGTGGAATGTAAAACTCATCTAAGCTGCATGCTTGAAAAGAAAAAGTAAATGAACTACTTCAGTCTCTGGGAATGCTCAGTGAGGAAGTATCAGAGCTGTCAAAGGCCAGGCCCATACCTTTCTTCAGGCTACAGGTGAGTGAACAATGCTTCATGGCAGTTAGCTTTCAAGGAATAAGACTGATAATATTAGCGTAGGCATCCAGGACTGTCTGGACAATGGAGGTCAACAAAATCACTAGTCATTTCTGAAATGTGGATCCCTGTTTCTTTGTTTGTTTTGCTATAATTACACCTACTCATTGCTTTGAACATTTGAAATATTTTAAAATGCATTTTTAATCTTAATATAGAAACATACTGAGTTTAAAGATGAATTTTTAAAGGTTTAAAGTGTTCAGAGCAACAAGTAGATGTAATTACAAGAGTAAAGCAAAGAAATATTAAACTGAGTTATGTCTATTAAATGTGGACTTTTAGAGAGCCAGCCAAAAATATTGGCTCTTGTATGGCAAAAGAGAGACTAAACATCAGGCTATATTTACATATTTTAAGTTGGGCAGAGAGAAAGGAATTGGAACATACACCTTTAAAAAAACCCATAATACAAATATCAGGAACTCTGGACAAAGGAAAATTATCTTAGTAGCATAAGTCTTACTTTCAGTTCAAGTGTGAACCATATGGACTACACAAACTGGAGAAATGAAACCCACCTGCTAGGGTACTATATGATTCCACCAGAGGCCTCACTCCTGAGACTTCAGTTGCCTCACTTAAAATAAATGAACTTAAACATTAGATAAAAATCCTGTTTCAAAATCTAAGCCAAACCTTCAAAGCCACTAGATCTACCACTTCCTTGTGCATCCGTTAACTTAGGCAATTCAGCTGCTGAAGCAAACATCCAGTCCTACAGTTCTTGCTTTGCCAAGCTTGTCACTGGATGGCATCCTGCACTCCTTACTCCGGCAATCTGGTTTTCTAGCTTTTCATAAAAGAGTGTAATTAAAGCCATCCCTAAAAGCAATATCAGTTTTAAAAGAAAGCACATCAAGGGATAACATTTGATACACTCCAAATTGAGAATATTTTTACTTATGGAGTTTGACATTAAATCAGAGTTTATGTTAAACTTTCTCCTAATCCTTCTAATTCCTTTTTAAAAATAATTTCCCCCCTAGTGCTATACTGGCTCTCTTGACAATATTTTGAACTGAATGATGATGGAAAAGACTCCTAGACATTATCTGGGATGCCTTTAAGGCATACATTAAAGGTATGGTAATGTAACACACTACACGATCTAAAAAATCCTATTTGACAGAGCAGCTAATATTTGAAAAGAAATTAAAGTCTCTATAATATCAATTTCTAACTGACTGTTAACCTGGCTTAGAAGCTGTTATTGAAGAGAATGGAATTCAGTTAGCTTGCTTACTCCCAACTAAGGCACAGTTCTGTGTTCAACAATGCTTGGAAGCA